TGGGCTGCTGGATGAAACCTGGAACTAAACGCTATTTCTGACATTTTAGATTGAAGAAGCTTCCTGGATGGAAGAGAAATGTCTTCAAACTCGGAAACAAAGTCCAGAGGATTGATTTTAACTTATTTGGAATCCTTATGACCTGGATAACTGGGAATCCTCATCATCACAAAATAAAACTGTTTAACCTCTTAATATCCACCTCATTTCTGGGAAATTCACCTGTTTTGCATACCCAAATCCAAAAGCAAATAACTGAGGAACTATAAGCCCAAATTACATGTGTGATACATTATTTGAAAGCTAACACCTTCTAGTTTTGGGTGAGTAAAACACCCATGATGCATCAGTACAAACAAGACTCAAAGCAGTTTTTTTTATTCTTGAAAATAATAGGTATTTTTTGAACAGCAGTAATAAAGACATGCTTGCTTGTTGCGGCTACATTTCCACATGCTGCTATAAATCTGGTTTGGTGCTCGCTGCGTCCATTAAATGAACTTGGTGGTTGATTTGTGGAGAATCTAAGCTTTCAAATGATGTCTAACATCTATAATGGTAAACACTTTACCGGTGTAATTTTCATGCAATCTGGGTTATTATTTGTAAACGCTTTAAAACGGAGGGTTTTGAGAGGTTAATCTTCCACATATAATGTGGGTTTTAGCTGTTATTAACCGTGTTTATCCACTCTCCTAAGCTGAAGTTTAATAAACCACTCTAAAAAGAAAGATCTTTCATGTGTGTGATGTCGGGACACATGCAAGAGATGCGGATATTATTGTTAGCCAATATAAGAACCACAGAAAGGAGCTTTTATAGCAGCTCACCTCACCTCAACAAAAGAGAAAACTGATGAGCAGTCCTGATGAGATTTTTGGAGGAGGCAGAGAAATGGTTTTCAAAGACAGTGACACAACAGAGGTGACGCCCCCTTTTCCTTTATGTTTCAGCTAACTGGCCCAAAATGTGCATGAGACGTGTCCAACATGGCCCACTGGGATAACCCACGCAGCATGGAGCCCACAGACCCAGCAGGTAAAGGCATTAACTTATACTGCAGGTCAAACGCTTATTCTATGAAATCTGTATAACAAAGCTCCTTTTTTTGGTCCTAATCCCGCCCCCCTTTCTCGCCAGGTTACTGGTCCCCCACGGTTCCTGAGGCTGAACTGTACCGAAGCCTGCAGGCTGTGCTTCCCCGGTGCACTGACCAACAGCAGGGCCCAGACTGGTGTAACAGAGGTGGGATTTGTCATTGTTGATCCAAAAAAGCAAAAAGGAAAAATCCACTGATCTTTGTTTCTAAGTTTGGAGAAGCTGAGTTAGCCCAACAAAACCTTGTTTTTGTTTAGGAAACAAGCAAAGGGATGAACGTGTCCCCCCCTTTGGAATGGGTGTCGTTTAGCCTCTTTGTTAGCCTGCAATAC